TTCAAAGAAGATTGTCTGTATGAGGCCTGACAGAGAAACTAACCTCGTCCTTGAGCCGTCGAGGGGAACGTCTCTCCGCTCGTCTCTCCTTCTCTTCATCCTCATCTGCGCCCTCTTCTTCTCCACCTCCAATGCCTTCATCCACATCCTCGGTGTCAGGGGCTTCTGGGTAAAGCCTGTGAACGCTCTATACACACACACACACACACACACACACACACACACAGACACCTGTCAGGAGCGACACGAGACACACGTCATCACAGCAGCTGCAGGAGTCAGACTCACGGTCAGCGTCACTCCGGTCTGGAAGAGCTCATACGGATACAGGATCCGCTCGAAGTGAGAGCGCAGCAGTGACCCCACACCTTTCCCGGCTGGAAAACCCATGCGACTGCTGATCCTGGACCAGCGCTTCTCCTTACAGACCACCTCAAAACCTCCTTCTGCAGACACCAGCTGCCAGAACACAGAGAGAAGAGATCAGACGTGTGCCGTTCCCTCTTCAGCGCAGCGTTTGCTCATCCGGTGTTACATTTTACTGTGTTATATCATTAAATAACGTATTGACACACAAATGTTCAATGTAGTAACAGCCTTAATAAAAACAATAAAACACAAAGTTCAAAAGCTTGGGTTTGGTAAGAATCTCTTCTGCTCATCAAGGCTGCATTTATTTGATGACAAAAACAGTAAAACAGTGAAATATTATTACAATGTAAAACAGCTGTTTTCTATGTGAATATCTGTTAAACCCAGAACTTGGCGATCTGGTCGAGGAAGTTGAGCTTGACTCTGTTGAGGGCCTGAAGGGAGGAGACACGAGGTGAGGAACAAACACAGCGACCTTCACTATCACAGGACTGAGCCACTGAACTCACCTCCAACTCATTGAGCCGCTGGATTCGAGGAGTGAAGCGGAAACTGCACACGTCGCAGGCGAAGGGAGGCTGCCAGCCCTGAAACACACAGCAGCTATGAGTCTGTGAACAGAGCAGCTCCATCCACACTCATGCTTTAACCAGAGCCACTGATCAGGGCACATAAACCATGACTTATCATTGAGAACGACTTCCCTGGAAACCCCATGTTTAACAAGGAATAATAAATCCCTATCAATAAACCATATAAAAGTACACAAAAAAAATCTGATTTTATATCTCAATATAATGAACAACAATAACGAAGTATGAAGCACTTGCGGTCTAATAGAGTCATTCCTGGTATTCAGTGTAATTTGTGTGATCTGATCTGGTGTTGTGCTGTGTTTTACTACGGTAAACAGTTGTGTACGTGCGGCCGTCTGATCTGGCGTTGTGCTGTGTTTTACTACGGTAAACAGTTGTGTACCTGCGGCGGTCTGATCTGGCGTTGTGCTGTGTTGTACTACGGTAAACAGTTTTGTACCTGCGGCGGTCTGATCTGGCGTTGTGCTGTGTTTTACTACGGTAAACAGCTGTGTACCTGCGGCGGTCTGATCTGATGTTGTGCTGTGTGTTACTACGGTAAACAGCTGTGTGTTACTACGGTAAACAGTTGTTGTTGTGTAACGTTACCTGCGGCGGTCGGATCTTGCAGATGCCCGTGTTCTCGGCGATCTCCCGGATCCTGTGGATGAAGCCGAACGGGTCGCTGAAGTCCTGCCAGCTGGGCTCGAACACCGGACACTCCGGCGGAGCCTCGAACTCGCGGAACAACGCCATGACTAACCGCTGACACACGGACCGGAGCGTCAGATCATGATCTCTGCGAGACGATCAGCTGCTCATTTCTGCGCGCGGTCCTCAGACTCTGCGCTAGAAACAAACACGAACCGGGACGCGGTTCAGAATCAGATGATCGGCGCGTTATAAATGTTGTGTTTATTATAATCGGAGCGTTGTGTTTATTATGGGAGATCGGGAGCGAAACGCGCCGAACAAAAGCCACCGCCGCCGGTCACTTCATCTCGCTTCTGCGCTCGTTTCTCTGCATTTGTCGCCTCGTTCGCCTTCTGCGATCATATCCATCAGTTACCGGAGAAATCCTCCGTGTTTAGTCCTGTATTAATCCGACTGATTCTCACAAGCGCCGTTAGCATCTTCCGCTAGCCTCCGCTCAACTGTTTCCGGAAGTGTTACCTTTCACGTTCACCGCTGTACTTCCGCTGCAACAGCTGCATTACAAAACAAACGCTAGACGTAAAACGCCTGAAATGTGTTTAATAAATGTGTATAAAGAGGTTACATTCACAGTTTTACATGCTGTATATGCAGCTAAACGTGTGTTAGAGAGCTTTAATGTGGATGTCGAGTATCCCTGTGATTTGTGATTTTCTGGGTGGATCTGGAACATTTCATTAGAAGGAAAACATATTTTATTATTAAAGTTAAATAATTCTGATACATGTATGTAACATCAGAAGAACGGGTCAGGATCCATTTCTTCAGGAGACTAAGGACTGAAAGCAAAGAAGACGTGTAATGTTTTTCAGGAATGTACAGCTTCTGATTAATGAATCAATTGTTTGTACTCTGGCATGTTTTTATGTACATGTTTGATTATGTGGTTCTGGTCAGTAATAAAGGTCTGGAAGCGTTTATGAGCTGCATATGAAACGACTTCCAGATGAATAGCAATCCTTATGAGTGAAAGACTTCACATTAAGTGACATATTAAACAATGGCCCAAATGCAGGAAAACAACTGAGTGCAGTCTTGAGCTTTATTAGCTCCAATCATGTTTTTACACCGAGATAGTAAAATATGCTTACATGGTAATAGCCATAGGGTTTATCTCTCTCAAAGCAGGGGCTGAAGAGAAAATACTGCACGGGCATAGCAAGATCACCGTTTATTGGAAGAATAAAGTTGCCAACGAGGATATGTAACGGTCGCCTGATTAGCTGGGAGACTGATCAAATTCTAAGCTTTGTGTGCAATTAGCATTAATAAAATGCATTTAGTAAGTACTCTAGACACGGCATTTTAAAACAACTAGAGCTTATTTGCAGACCCTGCAGTCTCTCCACTACATTAAGGTGGAAGTATGCTGTCTTTTAAACATTAGAAACATGATTATGAAAGAACAAATAGATGTCAACACAACACCTGTGTTCTTTACTGTGGAAAATCACATAACTGTACATCCATTGAGGTCTGTGAAGGTCTTTGATCCAATAATTAACACTTGTGTTTAGGCATAATTTAATAGAAGAAATGTTTTATCAATACACTCTGTTATCTGAGAGAGTTATGAAGTTTTGTCAGGAAAATGTCATCTGCATAACAGAAAAATCTAATGATAAGGGGCCTCATGTATAAAACTTTACATAGATTTCATCCTAAATGTGTGCGTACGCACAAAAGCTAGATTTTGCGTAAGTACAAAAGTTTTCAGATTTATAAAGCCATGCGTACGCCAGAAGCTGCACAAAATTCCCTTTGTAATACCCAGTCAGCGGAAGATTGTGCGTATGTGCATCTCCACCCCGTCTCCTTCCCGAAATAGCCATATATGGAGCTTACAACGCCTAGTTTTAATATGCATAACCTCATCTGCATATCATTGCCATGCATATTCCATCCACGTGACACCATGTTTAACGCAGTTAAGGGTACAATACGTTCGGAAAATATGAGATACGGACTTTAAATGTCAGTATCTTAACAGTATCAGATAACTAACATACAAATGACTATGAAAGAGTGTGTTATATTAGGCTAAGTTTTTATATTAATAAGAAAAGCATTACTTGGCTCTTTAGATACATTTTCTAGATTGTTTTTAGTTTTGTGTAGGAGGATGCGTGTTATTTTGCTATGTGCCATGCACTGCTTATTAAATTTGAATGATAGTAGAATATTGTCAAATCATAAAATTTAAAACATTTTGTTCTCCTATTAATATTTTGTTAAATAAGAGATTACTCAATTTGAGTGTATTGATCACTTGGTAATAAAAATTATATTTTTATTTAATAAAAAAGAAGAGTATGTCCCTTGAATGGTTGTCCACCCTGTCGTATTGGGGACTCCACCCCCCGACTTTAAGAAAAGGCCGTCCCCATCAGGACAACAGATATTTTGTCTCTTCAGTGGCGGGAATTTCAGCGGCTGAGGTGAGTAAGTTGGTGACTTTTTAACTGACAAATTTTCTTCGTCTGAATTTGCTTACTTGCTTTGCCAAAGCTAAACATGTCCACCCTGTCGGCATAAAATATGCCAGACGTGATTTGAATACAGTATTTTCAAAATATATAAGTTCAAATTCTCTTCAACAACCAGACTAAATATTTAGCTAGTCACAGTTTGTTGTAAGCTAATATGCTAATTGAAGCTCAAAATGTCCACCCTGTCGGCCACTTAGACTCGATAGAGTGGACATACACATGACAGGGTGGACAGAGCATTCATTTGCAGTTAATATTGCTAAACACTAAAATGAACACATATCAGTGTGATGGAGGATGTAATTTTATTATTTATTATTATTATATTACTTTTTTTCAAAGTTGAATAAATGTATCATTGTCATAGTTTGTCATGCTTTGTGTGTTCTGCTTTATGTGTCCACCCCGTCATGTGCTGGTCCACCCTGTCATCTTGATATTTTACAATAATATTTTAAATAATAATTCAGTCATATCTATATAATCCAGTGTGTTCAATAGCTAGGTGTGGGGGTAATAACATGCAAACAAAAAACTGCATCCAAATATCACAGTTTTCTCCAAATAAGAAAAAAATTAATGTGCGAGTTTCTTTAAAAACACATGGTTTTATGTATTTATAATTTGGAAGCAAACAAATAACCCTGTTTAGGAAAGGGACATCATACCTTTCAGAAAATATAATTTGCATCTTAATTTTGCAATGAAAATGTATTTAACAGTAATATAAATGTCCATGACAGGGTGAACATATCTTATGGTTTATGCTTCGAATAATGGCCCATAATTATCTAAAAAAAAATGTGTTTTGTCGCTGGTGATTGAATATTGATTAGCTCTTCCGTGTTTCCTAGTGTCCGTGTTTCTAGTTTCCCTGTTTCCTTTCACGCCTCCCTTCGTTACAACTGTAAAGGTCATACGTTTTTTTCATTTGTTGTGATATATATATATATATATATATTCAGGGTTGGGGAGTAACGGAATACATGCGTTACGTAATCAGGATACAAAAATCTAGTAACTGTAATCCGTTACAGTTACATCAAAAAACAGAGTATTCAGATTACAGTTACATTTTGTAAAAAGTGGGAATACTATCAGGATTACGTTTGTTTAATTTAAAATTAAATAAATGAGTATTTTGACATAACGCTTCTGTTGACACTCATGTTGACTCACGTGAGCCACCTGCTGGTGCGTGCGCAAATAACACCCGTCTACAATTATTCTCCGCAAACGCGGGATGAGACGCTGCTACAGTTAATTAATTACGATGCTTCCTGCAGGGAAAAACGTTTTCATGTCTCATGAAATTTCAGTTATTTTGTCTTCAAAAAGGATAAAGGAAATAACAGTTGTACAGCGTAAGCTTTGCATGAAGACTCTGGCTTTAACAAAGGCTAGTCAACCAACTTCAACATTTGCAGGTACGAGTCCGACTAGCATGGAAATCATCGTGTTAGCTAAACATTCGGTGTTTGTTAGTGCTTTAAAATTCCATGGTGTGCATGACTGCAGTTGTGTGTAAGTTTACTAGCTGAAAATGAGCCTGAAAATGCCCCACACCCCGGATCAGTCACAGAAATAAAGAAAGATCATAGCATTTCATATGCATTTCGACATGTAGGCTTATTTTAAAATAGACTAATATGTATATGGTGTAAATTTTTTAATGTTGTGTATAAACTATATTTATTTTTACTTATAAATATAGTTATGTAATATGTATATTAATGTTAAAGAAATAACAATAATAATAAAAATAAAACTGTTATACTAAACTGTATAGCCACTAGATGTCTGCATAGCCTTTTATATAAAAATATATATGGGCTGTAATATCTAGATGGTGAAACAAGACACGATTTTTAATAGTTTCAAATAGATTTTACTATAGTTTTTATTAGTTTTAATTTTAAAGTCATAGTTAAATAAAAGTACTTAGATATTGCTTTTTTGACTTTATTTACATATGTAACTAAGTAATCCAAAAGTAATCAGACTACATTACTTTTATATTGTGGTGCTTGGATTACGTTACTGAATACTTTTTAAATGAAGTAATTTGTAAATGTAACGGAGTACATTTTAAAAATAACCCTCCCAACCATGTGTATATATATATATTAGGGCTGTCAATCGATTAAAATGTTTAATCTGATTAATCACATCCTTTTCTGTGATTAATCGTGATTAATCGCACACTTCATGAAGCACTTGTAAGCATTTTAATTTACATAACATCTTGATTGATTAACAGACCATTATTTAATGTTTAATAAATGCATTAGTAAGCATTAACAAGCACATTATCTCATATATTTCTAACTATGTGAATATATATTATTTAATGATCTGTTAAGCATTATGTAATGTTTGTTAATGATTTATTAATGAAAGCTATTATAAAGTGTTACGAAGATGGTGTATTTGTTTTTAAATCTTTACATGGTACAGCCCATCCATAAATTGCCGACCTGATTCAGAAGTAGTGGAGATTTTTATGATCTCAGTCACAGAATTTCTCAGTTGTTCCGAGGATGAATCTGAAATCTAGAGGTGACCACACTTTTGGAACAGTTCACCACAGTATAGAAGACAATCATCAACTCTTAGTGAGTTTAAAAGCCGTTTAAAAACGTCTTTTTTTAACGTAAGCGTTTTTGAGTGTCGAGGTATTGTTGACACAGGTATTGGTATTTAGAGTTTGAAGATTTTTTTATGACTCTTAAGAGTTTTAAGGGTTAAGAGTCTGAGAGAAGATGTCGTGTATATTTTTCAATTACGGTTGTTTGTGTTTCTTAGATTTTTTACTGTTTTATTGTTTGAACACTGTTGTATTTTGTGCTTTATAAATAAACTTGAACTTAAACGTCCTAATTCACAAACAGTTCACCATCAACAGTTATCTGTCAAATAAGTAGAGGCAGAAAGAGACACCAAAGAGAGAATGTAGGACAGTCTCTAACAGTGAAGAATAGGGCTGGGTATTGTGCAAAAATTTTCAATACCGATACCGATACCTTGACTTCGATACCGCTTCCTGAACGCTACTTTTTTCGATACCAATTTTATGAAATCAATTTTAACAATTTTTTTTTTAATATATATATATATATATAATTTTTGTGACTGACGCCGGTGATTAACTGAACCAGTTTCCTAATTTGTAGGCCTATTACTTTAAATAACGAATTAACAAATGAAAAAAAAATCACAAACATGACATTTCTGAATAAAATAATTTTATACATTTTAGTCATATCTAATTTGGCATTTTTAATTAACATAG